GGTGTTTTCTGTAGGGAAAAGGACATATCTAGGCTATCATTAGGAGTCTCTATAGTTTGGCATCTGGTACCTGCTTGTTCCACCTCCAAGCTAAATCAAATCTGATTAGGCAGCCAGTTCCTCTGCCAGGAAAATGAGGGAGAAAAATAAATCTCCAGGGTCATTTGGATTTGTCTCTCCCCAGATGAACTACTAGGGAGTATGTCTCTCTCCTGAAGAGCGGTCCAGCGCTGTGTGCATCTCTGTCCCTCACCGACCTGAGAGCCAGGTGCTCCCATGTGATAAGATATGAATTAATGCCTGGGAAATTTACCTGACTGGTCCGGGGAAACCTCAAGGCCAATGAAGATGTACTACCAAGAAGCAGGATGTTCTCTGCCATTTATTACAGACAAGGTGACAGTAAGGTCCTAAAACAATCATGCATGTGTGTTTTCATTCCTCAAACATTGTTGATTCTGCTCCTGGGAAAAGGAGAAGCTTTAAAAAATATTCCAAGTCAGGCATGGCTGTGCACACTTGTTATTCTAGCATTCTGTGAGGCTGAGGCAGGACGACTGTACATTTGAGCCCAACCTAGGAGACTGACTGATTTAGTGAGCTGTGATCTCTAAAAAAAAAAAAATTAAAAATCTGGGGAAGTAGCTCAATGTGAAGGCCCTGGGTTTAATCATCAGTAATTAATTAATTAATTCATTCATTCCACGTATGAACTCCTCTTTCAGAAGCTTGTGCTTTGTGACCCGTCACACAAATTACAGGGACAAGAAAATACTATTTTAGTGACATTCTTCCGTATCCTTTAGAGGTCAGCTTCCTGAGCAATTAGCAAACTTGAAGGGAGAGCTTTTCCACCCAGGTCGACAGGTTCTGGAGCCCTGAGCCTCCCCACTAGCCTAGCCGTGGTGGCGAACCTCTTAGAGCTTTCAATGAGACAGACGGCCCACTGCAGCGTGCTTGCTGTAAGGTCACCACCATCTGCAGAAGAACCAAGGAACCAGAGCCTGGCCTCTCTCTTCCACTGTTTTGTTCAGCCGTTACAGGAAAGGAAAGGCTCTCCTGGACTCTACCCACCTGGGTTCCCCCCTAACCTCCTCCACCTGTCTCGCACCATGGTGGGGAGAAAATTCAGCCTTGATCGAGGCCCCAGAGAGGCAAGTGGCAGAGGCCAGCAGCTGAGGAGGAACTGAAGGCTCACAGAGCCCGGGCACACAGACAAGCAAGACCTCCACATGAGGAGCCCTTTTCACCTTGCAGGGGAGTTACCCACAGAAAAATGAGTAAAAATATGTACTCAGGGGTACATTATTTTTCCCTTTTGCTTTAGGCTTCAATATGGCTTGGATAGTGTTGTGTGATCTTGTTTCTATTTCAGATTTTGGTATTTTGTTCATGGGATTTTTGGCTTAGTTTTGATTTCTGAAATTATTGTATTAAATTATTATTTCTCTTTATTGCAGGGCTTTTTGTTTCCTGTTGTTTTATATCATGCTGGAATTGAACTCAGGCCTTACAAATGCTAGGCAAGAACTCTACCACTGAGCTATATCCAGAGCCCCAATTTCTAAGATTTTTTTGGCACTTCTCTTTTGTTTGTGTGTGTGGGGGGGGGTACCAGGGACTGAACTCAGGACCTTGCCAGGCAGGCACTTATTCTACTGAGCTGTCTTCCCGGCCCTGGCACCCCTCTTAAATTTTGTGGCCCAGGCAAGTGACTCTCTCAATTCATCTTTGTCCTGGCCCTGACAGTACAGTAATTTCATGCTTTTGGTCTCTTGCACTGAATCATAATTTGGAGCTAAGGAAGCCTAAGTGTAATGGGATGGTAGAAGCAAATGCAGTGTACTCAGAACTCCTACCAGCTTTTGGATTTAAAACAAGTAGAGGGGCCAGGGAGATAGCTCAGT